CTACAAGTACATTTGACAGTTTTCGGTGGAACGACAACTTAAAACAACAGTGTAACGAATCCTTAATTTTGAATAGTGGGTTACTCAGCCAAATAGTTTTTTGTGATGCTCAAAAATCACAAGATGGTATTGACAATTATATTGAGACTTGTACTACCCAGTTAACGGACATTGATTTTAAGAAGTACCAGTAATAAATCGAAAGACTCTCAACGTTCTAGCCGAAAATTTGTTTGTATAACTTCTGATAAGCCATGGTTTAATTGTGAGTGTCAAAGACTTCGTCATGTTTATTTAAGTGCGTTAAATATGTTTAATAAAAACATAAAAACAAAAAAGTTGAAAATCACCAAAGACTTAACACTACGAAGAGACAATACAAAGTGTTGGAAAATAAGTTAAAACGGCAGTATAAACGTCAAGAGGGCGACATGCTTGAGCATCTACGTAAAAGCGACACTAAAACGTTTTATAGAATGTTTCAAGAGAACCGCGCTAATAATTTAGAAGTCCCCCTCTCGTCATTTTTTTAACATTTTAAAGAGTTATCTTCACGTAACACTCCAATAATAAATGACACACAGAGTATTCAGGACACTATTACCGAGGCTACACACGAACAACTTGACCGTGTTATTACGCAGATCGAAATTGTGTAATGTATTTCCAAACTTAAACGTGGTAAAAGTCATGGAATTGACGGGATTCTGAACGAATGTTAATCGAATATAAGGATGTGCTTATACCGTTCTCAGAGGAAATGTTCAACAGGGTATTGTCTTCTGGTTACTTTCCGACAACATGGACAGTTGCGATACTTGTTCCAGTTTTTAAAAAAAAGGCGATCCGTCTGATCTGGTAAACTATCGCGGCATAAGTTTGGTTAGTAATTTGGCCAAATTGTTCACATTCATTTTGAATATGAGATTGTTACTTTGGTCTGATAACTATGACATTATCACTGATGCACAGTTTGGATTTCGGCCGGGCAGTAGTACAGTTGATGCAATATTTAGTTTATTAACTGTAATTCAGAAAACACTCTTCAGCAAGAATCGTTTGTATTGCTGTTTTGTAGACTACAAACAGGCGTTTGATACAGCATGTAGGCAGAATTTATGGTTGATATTGTCAAAAATTGGTATCACAGGGAAACTTTTATCATTACTTAAATCGATGTCTGCAAATGTGAAATCATGCATGTGTACAAATTGATGGTTTTTATTCAGAGCAGTTCACCAGTACAGTTGAAGTACAGGAATTGTCTTTATTTTTGCTTATGTATGCCGATGATATGATTCTGTTTTCTGATTCTGTAAAAAGCTTACAAGATATGTTACACACACTTTTATTGTACACTCGTAAATTGGGCAAAACTGCAAACAATGCTAAAACAAAAATTATGGTATTTAGAAATGGTGGTAATGTGAGGGTAGAAGAAAAATGGTACTTTGATGGTAATGTTATTGACATTGTTGATGGATTTTGTTACTTAGGTGTACTGTTGAATTATAACAGTATTTTTATAAAACTCAGAAAAAATTAGCAGAGCAAGGTAGGAAAGCGGTGTTTGCCTTGATATCAAAAGTATCATCCTTAAATTTGAATGTTTTCACATACTTGAATTTGTTTGATACGTATATTAGTAGTGGTTTATGCTATGACAGTGAGATATGGGGCTTATATAAAGCGCCGAATATTGAAAAAGTTCAGATAGATTTTTGCAAAAATATTTTGGGTGTCAAACAATGTACCACGAATGTAATGGTGTATTATGTATATACATATATATATATATAAATAAGTTTAAATTGAAAACAACGTTCAAACCTATGGTTGCGTTGGATAAAAACCGCAATTTTTAAACGTGTGCATGCAAAACAAATTTCTTGGTAGAGGGGTCTAAATACAGCACAAACAACATTTTCCAAAAGACCAAAAAAGTGAAAAAGTATATCTAAACAAAACGCATTTGACTAACAGGTCGAACAACGGATGTTCTTAAACCCTGCTGACTGCCATTGGCGATTGCCAAATAAACGGATCACAAGATGTAACAAAATGGATCATTATTATTAATTTAATATATATAGGTGACACATTCTCTTCAGACATTATTACGGTTTTTCAATTCATGACATCGTCCTGAACATGCATGAAATATTTGCCACTGGACATTAAGCAACCAATAATCAATCAATCAAACAATTCATGACGAAATAGATCAAGTTGCCTTAATTTTCCTTCCCAAGGTTTCATAGAACAAACTTTTTTGTGTACAAAGTAATTGCATGGATGATAAATTATCACAATTTTAAGATAGCGTTGTACTCTAATCAAGGTATAAAGAACCATATGTGTTACTCTTTATGTAAATGAAAGAAACTTGCAATCGTCAAAAACATTTTTTAGATCAAAAGATTTTAATAGCAGGATATTTAAAAATCAATGTGAAAACTATATTACAAACTATTTAATTTAATTTGGAACACAGCATTTTATTTCAAAATAGCCAGTGGCAATTTTTGTTTTAATATCTTGATTACGATACAATGAAATCTTATCCTTGTGGTCATTCATGCGTAGTTAATTAGTACACGGAAAAATTATGTACTATGAAAATTATAAGACAAATTCTAGCAATTTGATTGGACGAGAAGTTGTGAGTATGTGCTAAAAGGAAAAGAATGTCAACATTGAAAGTTAAACAAGAGTAAACTATTTGGTTGACTGGTTCGATCTACAAAAATTCATTCTTATACAGGTAAACACCGTTAATATGAAATCCAATTGCACGTTTTGGCTATCTATTTATTTCTATATTTATGTTTATATCGGGTTATATGACAGTCGAAGGTCACCTCGATGATTAATTAGATGGCCTCTAGACTGAAATACACACGAAATGCTGATACATATTATCGAGAGCATGCATTGTAAATTGTTTCTTTTAGACTTTTAATAACTTGAAACATATACCCTCACGACACTTACCAAAGAGGAAATCCTGGATAATCATAGGTCTGTTCTATGTTCCTTTGGAATTTCAACTAAAGATGAAGAACTGGATCTTCCATCACTGTATTGGATACCTAAAGCACATAAGTGTCCTTACAAACAACGGTATATTGCTTGGTCTTCCAATTGCTCCACGAAACCTCTTTCTAAATTATTAACATCTATTTTATCAGCAATCAAAGCTGGGCTTCAAATTTATTTAGAAACTGCCTATTCGAGAGGTGGCGTGAATCAGATGTGGATACTAAAAATTTCCAAAGATCTTTTAGAGTACATACAATCTAAGACTCTCTCTTCTTGCAATAGTATTAAAACATTTGACTTTTCTACACTTTACACAAGTATTCCCCATTCCAAATCAAAAGACAAATTGAAAGAGTTGGTATTGTTTTCTTTCATAAAAAAGAATGGCGAACGTAGATACAAGTATCTTGTTTTGGGGAGGGATAAATCCTACTTTGTAAAGAATCACTCTGATTCAAACAAAAAATTCTCTGAAACTGACATTATCAAGATGCTTGATTTCTTGATTGACAACATATTTGTTACGTTTGGAGAACGTGTTTTTCAACAGACTGTCGGCATTCAAATGGGAACCAATTGTGCTCCTCTTCTTGCAGACTTGTTTTTTTATTATCATGAGGATGACTTCATACAGGAACTTCTTTAAGAAGAAAGATAAGAAGTTAGCAATATCCTTTAACTTTACTTTCCGCTATATAGATGATGTTCTCTCACTAAATAATTCAAAATTTGGTGACTATGTTGAACGCATTTATCTCATCGAACTAGAGATAAAGGATACAACAGATACAGTTAAGTCTGCCTCATATCTTGACTTACATCTAGAAGTTGACAACGAGGGTCGGTTGAAAACAAAACTTTACGACAAAAGAGATAATTTCAGCTTCCCTATTGTGAACTTTCCATTTCTATGTAGCAACCACCCGCAGCGCCTGCATACGGAGTATATATCTCCCAATTGATACGATATTTCCGGGCTTGTGTTTCCTATCATGATTTCGTTGATAGAGGATTGCTGCTCACAAGGAAGCTATTAAACCAAGAGTTCCAAATGGTGAAGTTGAAATCATCCCTTTGTAAATTTTACGGACGCCATCACGAGTTGGTTGACCGTTATGGAATAACCGTTTCACAGATGATATCGGATATGTTCCTTATGTCGTAATTACAATCCACTCCCTTTTTATACCACGAATGTGACCTACCGAATTAGACTATTTACCGGATTTGTAATAACATGAGCAACACGACGGATGCCACATGTGGAGCAGGATCTGTTTACCCTTCCGGGGCACCTGAGATCACCCCAGTTTTTGGTGGGGTTCATGTTGCTTAGTCTTAAGTTTTCTATGTTATGTCTTGTGTACTATTATTTGTCTGTTTGTCTTTTTTTTATTTTTTAGCCATGGCGTTGTCAGTTTATTTTCGATCTATGAGTTTGACTGTCCCTCTGGTATCTTTCGCCCCTCTTGGAAATACGTTTTAGTTTGTTATAAATCAAATATGAGAATTTGAGTCAAATCGGTGAGCATAATTTTGACAGCTAATGCCCCTTTAAAGTAATAAAGTAATAACAAAATTGATCCTGGTAATTAAAACAGTCCATACTTTGACTCATTAAACATCCTGTAGAGTAATAAAGATCAAACAGGGTAATCAGTAGCTATTATCCCTCTACTCAGGTAATTAACAACTTAGCCATGCAGACATGCCACCTGTTGTTTATAAATTGATGTACTTTATAGTTTGATACTAACCATTATTAAAAAGGTATTGTGAATACCCGGTTTTTAAACTTGAAATTTTTATTACAGAGATAAGAAGCCCTACCGTCATATTTTGTCAAGTTGTTCTGCAACTTCACGTAGATGTAAATATAAACAATATTTATTCTCGACTCAATAAAAAATATTTGGAAGTGCTTTTTATAATCCACGATCAACAGAAAGTTCAATATTCATCAACGTTTAGATGAGAAGAAGTGACCAAGTGTGCGTCACTTCCGGTAGATTTATTTTTAGTACTGTTTCCGGAAGAAGCGTTCATTGGATTTTCCTAAGGTAAACATAGTTGAATTTTACACGCAATTATCTCTGTTGTTAGTGGACCAAACGGCATCGTTTTTTTTTTTTTGCATTTTCGATCAATTATTTCGAACTTTTAGATTATAATTACTTGTTATGTGTGTATTAGTGCCTCTTTAACGGGAGTAACCGTTCCGATTCAATGTAAAAAATTCAACACAACAGAACATTTTTAGTTAAAGTTTAATTTTCAGTACGCTTACTAAGTCAATATTTGGTAATGTACCTAATCCGTGTAGCTTTCAAAGACTCAATTTGTAGACATGTACAGTTACAGTTACGGAAGTACTGAAATCAATAAAAATGTCTGTGATCTAGGACACACATATATTTACACGACCTGTTTTTTAACCTTTTTATTTCACCATACTTATTTGAATAGGTATTAGACGTGCTACGAAATGGTATATACTCGACGCTGAGGTTGACAAATTAGATCTTAATTGCGAGTATCGTATCAAAACACAAACGTGATTTAAAGATTTTAATTACCTGTGTATCATAATCAATTGAGTCTTGAACATATCCATATAAGGTAGTGTTCCCGATCTGTTAAATACTTGTCAATGTTGACGAATAGAGATTTATTTATAACATTGTAGACATGGAAGTTCTTGGTCTGGTAAATATCTCTTCATGGATAATCTCAATTCTTCTGTTCATTCTTACACTCTATTTGTAAGTTTTTCTTTTTCATTTTTTAATGCCAAATCGTTAGTGTTTTTTTTTCTTTTTTTTCTTTGTATTTTTAGATCACTTTGAATTGTTACCACTATTTAGTTAGCATAAATATGGTATTACAACTGAAGGGGAATTTTAGCATAAATAAGGTATTACAACTGAAGGGGAATTTTAGGCAAATTTTTAGTATTACAAATTTCAACCTACAGGACAGGAATTTCGACGTCCATTGGGAAATGAAAGTACTATGTTGCAACAATTATACATGCATTCACGTATAAAAATAATTTATAATTTGCCGTAATATATATATTTTTGCGCTTATTGTTAACTTATGAGTGCGACTGGTAATAACTTTGATTGCCAAATAAAATAGACTTGAGAACGGAAACAATGGATGTGTCAAAAAGACAATAACCCGACCAAAGAGCTGAAAACGGCACAGGGCCACCGATGGGTCTTCAACACGACAAGAAAAATTCCGCACCCGGAGGCTTGTTTAATCAGGCTTCTTAACAACAATGTATACTTTTTCAGAGAAATGGACGCCACACAAAACTCTGAAATATATAAATGAACCAAAATTAAATAAAGACTAACAAAGATCTCAACCCTCCCCCTTTACTCATGCGAATGTGGAATAAACAAACACACAGCGATACGCACATTTAAATTCAGTTTAACAGAAGTCCGAGTTTGCAACCCTAATCTCGATTGAAGACCGACCGGACAAAGCGTTATGTCATAGAATTCTGTGGTTGATAACAGACAGAAATAATGCAAATCTGACCAACTATTTAATGTATCTAAAATGAAATAACATCAGTCCTTGATATTTGAAATCTGAACACTATTTTAAGAGATGATATTTTACTAACTACGTGTTTTATAGCATTTGTTTACTCTGTATCTATATATATATTATATAACAAAGGTAGAAATAATAAATGTCAGATTAAACAATTTCCGTTTCAAAATTCATTATATAGGCTCCAAAAGGAGGTTTTTCTTCTCCTTCTTCAGCAAAACATTTAGGGTTTGAGGAATTTGAAAGTATAATTTGGGAGGATCTGATTGGTTCTACTACAGAATCATTCGAAATATTTTTTAGAATATGGTTCGCATCCCGACCCCTAAACAATATATTTTCTTGTTTGGCTATCCAACATGCCTTGCATGATATATAGGAAGGGGGTCCTAAGAGGTTATCACAACCCCCTGTCATTTTAGGAATGGTCAAACATAAAGCAAATAACATGTTGAGACGTCAATCTCTAGACAATAACTTTTTTTCTCATACCAAATAAATTGAATAATATGCAGGGTTCGTCCCCCTAGGGTCAACCACTCTCTCTTCTTTATGAAAATGTTCAAATATTTTGGAAATTTTTTAGACGCCCACACCCCAGCCATGTTTAATTGTCTGTCATGTCAAGGCGAGTTGCATGAAAGGTAAGATAAGTCCCAAGTGGTCGTTCCCTACCCCTACTATTGTAATTGTTTAAGGATGTTGAAAACGGTCGAGATCCCAACCAAGAAACCGTGTAGTTTCTTGTTTGACATGTCAGTATAAATTGAATGATATAATGGGCGAGCACCAATGAGTATATATTTATTAGAAATTCGTTTTAGAGAATTCGTACTAACATCATATCACAATAATTTCTCCTGTTTTTTTCATGTTTCCTTTAAACCTAAATAGAATGTATCAAGTGTTAACACGGCAATAGAAATAATTGTAAAACACTCTATTTCATTTCAATTACATTTTTCTTCACCAGATATACATTATGGAAACATACTTTATGGAGAAGGCTAGGAGTTCCAGGACCAACACCATTCCCTTTCCTTGGTAGCATTAAAGACTTGGCAGTAAAGGTAATATACATGTAATAAATCCATAGGTAATATATGAACCTTATTGGGCTTTTAAAATTCGTATGTTATTATTCTGTGTAATACCTATTTATAAGTGAGGATTTCGGTTGAACATATTACACACTCATTCTTCTAGTGGGCGATAGTCCAAAAAGACCTTGTCCGTTCGTTCGTATAACACATATTTTCGTCACACTTTCCTCGTTAATTTCTAAATATAAAGTATTCATAAAAATTGTTTGGTCAGCAGCTTGAGAGTAGTGAGTTGTAACGTGTATTTACTTTTCGGTTAGATACAGACTCCTTGTTTGCCGATAATATAATTTTCATTGTGCTAAATGAACTGCAAATTTTTCTTCACACACTTCTCCAATACTTCAGTACAGACTGACTTCATATGTGGACAGCAGCATATATGATGAGTTGGAACGTGTGTGTGTCCTGTTTTGGATCTGTCACAAACATATGAGTATGGGGGGTTCGTCATTTCTGTATTCTTTAATTTTTTAGGCAATTTTTTTCTAGTCTTTATACTTTTCGCCCATTATTCTCTATTCTGTAAACCCCCATCTACACCATCGAGTATGCGTAGCACGAACATGTGTGCATTCTTGGTTTAAGACATCTTTTCATGAATGGTAACATTTTTCACATAACGAAAAAGTTGTAATATTTCACAAGATTTACTAAAATGATTTTAGACATTTTTTACTGCACTTGTTGCTTGAAGTCTCTATACTTTTATGGATAAAAAAATGTGATGGGTAAACTCAAATGAGAAGGTAAAAAAAAAGTATGCAATCAAACATCCCAGTAAGTCAAATAAAAAAAGACAACACATTGACCAAAAAGAAAAACAACGAAATGACGATTAATAATACCAAACACTAAGTCTTCACAAAACCTTTAGATTCCTTCGGAAAGGTAAGTAGTTCATGCTCCACTAGTTGCAACCGCCGTGTTTTTCATTTACAAATAAAACAGTGATAACCTGCATTCGTTTTGTAAAATTAAGGACAGAAAACAGGATTAATGTAAATCTATTTCAATAAATCTTTCGAAAAGATGACTTTGTAATCTTTGATGTACAATACAATAAGGCCTCATATTGGCCTACAATTAACAAAACACATACATCAAGGTTAAAATATCCTGAGTTTAAATGTACCACTTTCTTGGAATCGCAAATAGTTTTTTTAATTATCATCTTTAGCTGATTATTATTTAGATCACCTTTTCTAAATTACATCTTAATTACATCATGTACTGTAAACAGTTATAGGTGCTTCTTATGGTTCTTACATCATTAGTGACTCCATTCTACTTGATTATCATTTTTATTTGTGAGGAATTTCTTTTAGGTTGTTTATTTAATCAGTAAAATTGCATTGAGTGATTCGAAATAAGATGCAAAATGAGTTCTTATAAAAGAGAGGCGAAAGATACCAAAGGGACATTCAAACTCATTAAGTCAGAAACAAACTGACAACGCCATGGCTAAAAAGAAAAGACAAACAGACAAACAACGGTACACAAAACAAAACATAGAATGCTAAAGACTGAGCAACATGAACCCCACCAAAAACTGGATGTGATATCAGGTGCTCTGAAAGGGTAAGCAGATCCTGCTCCACATATAGCACCCGTCGTGTTGCTCATGTTGGTAAAAACCCGGTGATAATTCTAATGCAGATGGGGACGGGATTGTAGTTACGACAATTGGAACTTAGCCGCTATCATCTGTGAAACGGATATTCCATAACGATCACTCAACCAACTCGTGATGGCGTCCGTAAACTTTACTTTAACTGACTGTAGAAGCTAGTCCAGGAACGAAAACAGTAAAATGGTGTCAACTTACCATATTTATTTCATAACAACATTTTATTTATTTGATGGAATGTTCATTACTTATTATGCTCTCCATTACATGAAATACTTTTAATAAATTTCAAAAGAATAAATCTGTATCAATTATTATCGTACTGTCTTGTAGGGAATGTCCAAAACTGACCAAGACTTAGTTCCAAAGTATGGCAGTGTAGTTGGGTACGTTAAAAAAATGTATAACGTTTTAAAACGTGTATTATCCAGTTTTAAAAGAAAAAGTTGTAATTAAAATAGCTGTTAAGCTATTTACACATGAGTATAGAGCTTATATATAAACTTTAATACGTGTATAATTCTAGAATCGGGTGAACTTACACATGAATATAAAGTTCTGTTTACATTAAATTTACATGTGGATAAAGATGCATACATTTTGATTTTACTTGGAGATATTATGTTTAGATCAAACTTGCAAACGAATATAGAGTTGTGGTTACATTATATTACACATGAATATTAGATTATGCTAAAATAATACCTACCCATGATAGAATTCAGAATAGTGGTTTCATTAATTTTGCACATGCCTGAATATAGGATACAATTTGTCAATACTGGAAGACTTTTTTTAATATATTGATTAAAGGTGTATGAAATAAACGTAAAGAAGACAGCAACCCGGCATTACAAGTACACTACAAGACTTACATAGGTCATGTAGCATCATGTATTATTTTTATTACAAAAATGTACAATTAATATATGTGTTCGTCTTGGCCAAGATAGTATAGGGGCATTATGTTTTCTGGTCTTTGTGTCTGTTCGTCCGTCCGTCTCGTATCGGGTTAAAGTTTTGGTTTAGTTTTCTATGTTGTGTCTTGTGTACTATTATTTGTCTGTTTGTCTTTTTATTTTTTTGCCATGACGTTGTCAGTTTATTTTCGATCTATGAGTTTGACTGTCCGTCTGGTATCTTTCGCCCCTCTTTTACACTAGCTCATTGAACACCAGCTTGGTTTGACAATACTAAAATGTATGTTTAAAATATTATTCAATAGGACATAGGTGGGTATACAGGCAATGAAATCTGGTATATAAATTATAATCCTGGTACTTTGATAACTATTTACACCGCAGGGTCGATGCCACTGCTGGTAGACGTTTCGTCCCCGAGGGTATCACCAGCCCAGTAGTCAGCACTTCCGTGTTGACATGAATATCAATTATGTGGTCATTTTATAAATTTCCTGTTCACAAAAGTATGAATTTTTCGAAATACTAAGGACTTTCTTATCCCAGGCATAGATTACCTTAGCCGTATTTGGCACAACTTTTTGAAATTTTGGGTCCTCAATGCTCTTCAACTTTGTACTTGTTTGGCTTCATAACTATTTTGATCTGAGCGTCACTGATGAGTCTTATGTAGACGAAACGCGCGTCACCCTTCCGAAGTACCTGAGATCACCCCCAGTTTTTGGTGGGGTTCGTGTTGCTTAGTCTCTAGTTTTCTATGTTGTGTCTTGTGTACTATTATTTGTCTGTTTGCCTTTTTAATTTTTTTTGCAATGACGTTGTCAGTTTATTTTCGACCTATGCGTTTGACTGTCCCTCTAGTATCTTTTGCCCCTCTTTTTTGAAACTTATTACATTTACATGTATACGTGGCTATTTGAAGTAAACTTTAAGAATGTATGCAGAATTATCGTTTTGACCTAGATTCTACGGTTAAATGAAACGTGAATTTTCGAGAGTGTGGGAGGGGAAATGTGTTCTATGAACACATATTCTTGTTTTACAATTAATAGACACTCAGCGATTTAAGTATTTATATATTTATTTATTCTATATATTTGTTCTCGTTCTGAACATGCATTAAATATTTACCAATGGACGTTAAGCAACCAACAATCAATCAATCATTTTATATAACAGTACATGTACATTTGACGTTATTTTGCAGAGTATATAACGGAACTATTCCTGTACTATTAGTTACAGATACAGATCTGATTAAAGAAATATTTATCAAAGAGTATCAAACATTTACTAATCGTGTGGTAAGTTGTAAATTGTGTTTAGCCTAAGAAATTCTTTGGTTGGATACGACAGTCGACCACATGGTTAATCGATAGGTTAAACGGGTTTATTTTTAATTTTCTTTGGGGTGCAAGTTGTAATTTTGTTATTTAAAACTACAATTGTTTATTTGCAAAATGTATACGTCTAGTAAACGTATTAAATAGTTAACATTAAAAAGGGTAGGACATGAAATGTATGCTTTGGAGAAAACATAAACAAATTAAAAATTAATTGTGTTTAAAAGAGATAGATACTTTATTCTCTAAAAAAACAAAATACAAGTTTACAGAGAAAGTACAATCACAATATAAATACAAATACAATAGGTCATGGTAAACAGATGCAATACGATAATGTAAAATGAAGTACAACTTTATAACAAACGGTTAAACTAAATATAAAGCTTTACGTTTACATGGAGGGATTAACTTTTTTATTGATACACTTAATGAATGAACACAGTTTTTTATAACTGATTTATTTTTAGTATTAAACAGTGAGAAAATTGACATGATATTTGAACTATGTCATGGATGGATACCCCATATCCTATGTGTATCTATAATGTGAAAATTTACTTTGAAGAAATAATTTTCTTTCGTGCAATTTGAAAACAGCAAAAGAAATAATGAAATTCATCACATATACCGGAATTACATAAATTATATTTCTTTTTACTGGGGGTCAAAGCTCAATACCCCTAAGTCACTGTAAAGCCTTAAGGGTGTTAAATTGTTTACTTTGTATTGGTTAAAGTAATATTTATGTTGTAGGTAATTTTAAAGACGGATGATTTGTTGAACAGTATGATAACAGCAGCAGAAGATGACCACTGGAAGTTTATTAGAAGTACTATGACACCAACGTTTACATCGGGAAAATTAAAGACTGTATGTTTAAATTCATATACGTCCAGGTCTGATATGTGATTTAGTTTCCGATTCGACGCCAAATTTGACCATTCTTTTATAATTATTTAATACCTGAAGCTTCTGCATATAATTAACAAATGAAATAACGTGATTTTGATAGAAGTTCTTTGCCACACCGTTAAGCGTTAATATAATCAAATGGTTTTCTGCAACAGATGAAACTGATAAAAAGAAGTTCACCGAGGTTAATTTAGGGTTTAAGGGACCCCTTCCTTTTATGGAGCTACACGATGAACATTTAAGGTTATTGCATACAATCCTAACAAGTCCCATTCTTAACGTTGTCTTGACGGTGTGCCCGTTTATCAACATCCTGGATCCGCACTTAAAACTAAAATAGATTTTACAATAATACTATTGACACAGTACCTATTTATAATTCCGTAAGTTTACTTTATTTCCTTCCATCAAACCTACTAGGTAAATATTCCCTTCCATCAAACCTACTAAGTAAATATTCCCTTCCATCAAACCTACTAGGTAAATATTCCCTTCCATCAAACCTACTAGGTAAATATTCGGCCCCAGAGCTTAAAATCCCTCGATCCTATATGGGTTGTTTTGGCATACATAAATAAAATACAAAAATAAGTAAGCAATGAACGATGTTGTTAAATGTAATATATGCTTTTTGTGCTTCTTTGTTAAATATTTGTTTGTTTTTGCTGTGATTAAGATTGTGACACGGTGTTGACTAATGTACCCCTATTCTACATTTTTTCCTATCATGTCTGTTTGTTTTATTCACGCATCGTTGTCAATATAATGAAATTTGATGCGACTGTCATACATGTGAGAGGTTTAGCGCTATAAAACCAGGCTCAATCCACCATTTTCTACATAAGAAAATGCCTGTACCATGTCAGGAATATGACAGTTGTTGTCCATTCGTTTGATGTGTTTGTGCTTTTGATTTTGCCATTTGATTAAGGACTTTCCGTTTTGAATTTTCCTCGGAGTTCAGTATTTTTGTGATTTAACTTTTTGCTCTGTATTTACTAGATGCTTCCAATGATACTGCGATGCTGTGATGATCTCGTAAATAATATCAATGGTAAAATGGAACAAAATGAAAGTGTAGAAATGACAGAGTAAGTATGTTCTATACTAGTATATATTATGGTTTAGGGGGCCAGCTGAAGCCCGTCTCCGGGTGCGGGGTTTTCTCGCTGCGTTGAAAACCAATTGGTGGCTTTGAGCTATTTTCTGCTCTTCGGTCGGGTTGTTCTCCCTTTGACACATTCTCCGTTTCCATTCTCTATTCTATAACTATTCTTTTTGAAGTTATTTGAAAGCACTAGATAAGTAAGAAAATGTGGAATAATTCCCATGATTATAACTATCCACCAGAGACCACAGGGCGAGGATGGCCCATACCATTTAGTAAGCTATAATAAAAGGTTACAGCATGACAAAAGGAGATTCAATTCAAAAGAGAAACCCAATTGCCTTATTTGTGCTAAAAACAATAAACAATGCAAACAACAAATATTGCAAAAAGGTTGTAATATTATTTTTTACAATTTATCCTTCTAGTCTAAATTGTGACTTGCAGGGAAAATCCAGCTAACTGTTCCTGTTCTAAATCATAATCAGAGAACCGCCCTTATTTAAGTCATTTCGGTCTATTTTACCAGAGAAAAATGTTTGACAGTTCTACCCTAGAACCAATTTGGACAGTTTTATTCCTAGGGTTCGTGTGCTTGTTTTCGAGATATAAGCCATTGAAAATTTGGCGGGATATTATTCTCTCTAAACTTCAAATATGGCTTTTTAAATTATGTGTAATAAAATTACGAAAAGAGGTTAACGGGCAAAATTTTTAAAAGCATTCAAACGGATAAAATCAGAGGATTCCGAAAATCTGACAAAAATTCCAAAACATGGCAAGCGAACATCCTTAACACAAAGAATGATCCTTTTAGCGAGCAGTATAGAATAACTCAAATAAAATTTAAAAAAATAACCAAACAAATAGACATTCTTCTAAAAAAAAAATAATAACTGAACAAATGGACATTCTTCTAAATAAAATAAAAAAATAACCGAACAAATGGACATTCTTCTAAAAAAGATTAAAAAATATCCGAACAAATGGACATTCTTCTAAATAAAAAATTTTAAAAAATAACCGAAAAAATGGACATTCTTCTAAAAAAAAAAAAAAATACGCATTTTCTTTTGTAATTTTTTAAATGTTTTTTGATATACATTCGTTGATTACTTTAAAGATGTGCTGTTCATAACTTTATGTGTAAGATATACACATTTTATTTGAAAAATTTCAGAGTCTTTGGTGGTTTTACATTGGATGTTATTGCAAGCACTGCCTTTGGTCTTCAAGTAAACTCTCAAAAAGAACCAGACAACGACTTTGTTACGAATGCAAAGAAAGCACTCCCAGCCGAAGTTGTAAAACCATATTTCCTGATAGTTAGTAAGTGATGTTTCTTTATACTATTGTTCTAGTAAATCTTTCATTGAATATTTGCACTACATGCAAATGAATGGTCATGAACAGGAGTTCTATTTTCTTTTCTCCTCTTTGAAATAGTGTAATATGATAAATATTCGCCATTATTATTATGTATAATATATTTGAAAAATCAGATATTTGTATCATGTAGTGATATTCCTAAATATGTTCGTTTGTATCGAAATTTACCTCAGTTTTATTTATAAATTTAATTGGACTCTTATACACAAAATAGCAATACAGGAAAGGCACGTTACACATTAGTAGTCATGTTTGTTCCGTACTTGTTCCGATTAAAATAATACAGTATATTTGCAAAGAAAATTGCAATAAATACTAAGAAGATTAAGATTAAAGATTACGAAGAAACATGTATGATAACTTCATGATGTAACTTTAATAATCTCTGCTTGGTTTTGCATTGAGAATGTATATCCTTCCTAAAATTTTAAAAAGTGCCAATAAAAAAACTGCAATAGCAGCATTAAAATTTCATTCTCTTGAACATCTTACTTAACACAGGTAACATAGTTTTTTGGAACGATTTACAGTAAAAATATAGAGTTAACATGATTGATGCTTTATATAAATATTTCTTTAACCCATAACTGATATTAACAATCATTAATATTTAGTGATTTTTCCATTCTTGAAAAATCTGATGGGAACCCTGTTCAAGGCTCCAGTGTTCGGGGAGGGTTCTGAGGAGTTTTTCAGAAATATAGTACAGCAGTTAGTAGCAGAAAGAAAGTCAAATACCAATGTAAGTAAGAAGTAAGAAATTATGCTCTTCAGATTGTTGCTTTGCTCTTATATATTTTGAATTATCATTAATTATCTGGATCATAATATACATTTTACCTGCATCGCTGAAGGCGGAAGCAGGTCTAATAACCGTTCGACTCCGTCCGGCCGTCCAGAAGGAAACTTTCGTCAAAGTTTTCTTGGCTTTTATGAAAGGGAATAATTCATTATTTGGTCTGCAGCTTGATAATGTTTAGTTGTAGCGAGTAAGTAATTTTAACATCTGCCGTGTATCTACTTCTTGTTTGTCGGTAGTTTTGAAACCAGTCATTGAACAAGGAAAATTTTCGTCAAATCTTTCTTGCCGCCTATTGAAGGGAATGATTCGAATATTTGGTCTGATAATGGTCAGTTAGGCTCTTGTATACATTTTTCTTAATCAACTGTATGCAGCGACGCAGGTCCAGACCCGGTCCTGTTCTTGCTATAGAAATGGACAGTTACTTGAATTACATGCAATACCTCATCTAAAGATACTTATACCGGTTCTGTTGTCATAATTAGCATTTTTGACGCTTTGCGACATCAGTCATGCATTTTGAAATCATAATGGTTACTGAAAGACAACAACAACTGAAGAAAAAATTTCAGTGCACCGAGAGAGTGAAACCTAACAGGTGGATTTTGTGTTGATGCTTTACTTTTGCACGACCTTGGGTTGTATTAGTTTAACTAATTGGCTTAAGATTGCTAAGACAACTTCCTTTAAATTTGTATTGTCATATTTTAGTATGTTTTTCAATTATCTTAACCTGACAAAAAAATATTTGATATATATTATAGATTTCTTAAGTTATCTGCGTCTTGTGATCTAATGATTTTATTGTTTTCTTTAAGAAGTCAAAATCCACGAGCAATGCTCTTTCTGGTTTCAGAATAATTTCAAAGATTTTATTCAATTGATGTTGAACTCTCATAAAGAAAAAGAAATAAAGACAGAAAATGGGAAGATTGATGAGTTGGGAGGACTTGACTTTGCTGAGTACAAAAACAGAGGTATTAAAAACCTGGCCTTTAAAGTGCTTTTGCGTTTGTGTGCGCCTACATTCAAAAATAAACATTGTTTATGGGATCAAAATGAGGAGGATGTCAACGCCTTATGGTCATCGTAAATATGGTCATACCAAATAGTAAAATATAAAAGATCCAGGACAACAACATGTTAAACAAAACAACAGAGAAAACTAATGACATGATTGAAACAAATGACTTTATACAAAAACCAATTTTTACAGACATCATTCACTGAACTACTGGTTTTTGGCTTAGAAGATGTGTATAAGGCATGTGGCAGGATTAAACATGTTTATTAGTGCTCAACCTTACCCTAACGTAGGACAATGGTTTATCAACACAACATTAGATATAAATAAGAAGATGTGGTATGAGTGCCAATGAGACAACTAACCATCCAAGTCACAATGTGTAAAAAGTAAACAATTATAGGTCAAAGTACGACCTTCAACACGGAGATACACTTTAAAATATGTTGGAAAGGGAATGACCCATCAGCTCGACGCAAAGCACCAAACATTAACTAAAGGACAAAAGACAAATAATGCCGAGAGTTATGATCGTAGTTATTAATGCGCCTAATTTGAAATAATAAACAAAGCAGTCTTCCCAAGACCAAATATAAATCAGTACACGTCCAACAGATCAAGTTTAAAGACGCCATAAGCAGTCTGATAAAAGCATAACCTCTTGAAGTGCCATGATATATGTATCGACTTGAGGAGCACCACAAATGTTTACTTAATAACTTAGCAAAACATTTTAGTAAAGTATAGAAAAATTGAAAATAATGAAACATATATTCCACGATTTTACTACAATGTTAGGTTGATAGCCTTTAAGAAAATGTTTATTCAACGGACTAATGGATAATTTTACCCCCATTAAAGCGGGAGGTTTGGCTAGCCACAAAACCAGGTTCAACCCACCATTTTTTCTTAAAATGTCCTGTACCAAGTCAGCAAAATGGCTATTGTTATCTTATAGTTCGTTTCTGTGTGTGTTGCATTTAGTGTTTCTGTTGTGTCTTTGTTCTCCTCTTATATTTGATGTGTTTCCCTCAGTTTTAGTTTGTAACCCGGATTTGTTTTTTCTCAATCGATTTATGAATTTCGAACAGCAGTATACTACTGTTGCCTTTATTTAATTTGATTGTACATTGAGTTTTATGAACAGCTTTACCGTAAATGGGATGTATTAATTTGTTTATAATTAGATTTCTACAAGTACAACAAAACCTTTAAAACAAGACGTAAGGAAAATTATCAATAGGGAATGAACATTTCGTCCCTAAAAATAAAACATTTCCTTCTTATTGTATATTAACTAAATGGCTAAATTTCGAGAAATCATTGAGGCCCTTTGCATTTAAAAAAAAGTCATGAAATATTTACATAATGTATATAATAATGTTTAAATGCATACCTCATATATGAATTCATTGACATACCTCAGAAGGATCAACTCATCTTTTTTATACTACTGAAAATAAGAATTTTTTCACGTAGTACAAATTCTCATGGATTACGTGTTTGCTAGTTTCTATTATATTAAATTTAGATTGATTTAATTGATAAGGGAAGGCGAGTGATACCAAAGAGGCATTCAAACTCATACATCGAAAACAAACTGACAACACAATGATAAAAGACGATAAACCAACCAACAAACAAATAACAGTAAACAAAACACAACATCAAAATACTAAAGACTTAGCATCACGAACCCCACAAAAACCGGGGGTCATGTCAGGTGCTCCTGAAGGGTAATTTATCTATATCTCGTCAACAAATAACTTTTCCACAAATCAGTAAAAAGTATAGAGAATGAATCTACGAATAAAAATTCTTTAACAATACCATTTCTAATGTTTGAAGGAATGAATGAAAATGAAATATTGGCGAATTCTATGGTATTCTTTGGAGCTGGGTACGATACAACAATGAACACCCTATCGTTTGCCGCCTATCTGTTGGCCTTACATCCAGACATGCAAGAAAGACTATTTACTGAAATCGATAATGAACTGGAAAAGGTATGAAGATTTCATTCCAGTATAGTGAACGTATTGTATGATCGAACAATTGGCCGGTCAGAAAGGAATACAAACCATTATTCACGAAAAAGAAAGTGTAGAGTATTAGCAAAAAAATAAGCTGCTTCAAGAAACAAAAATCAAATATTATTTGCTTTCTTAGAAAACATACTGCAATTTTGTGCTTGAAGGTTTTAACTTTCGAAGCCTCTGTTTGATTCAATATGTACAATACCATGTATTCGAGAATACTGATTGAATACACTGCTGTTTAAAGATGGCCTCTTCCGTAAACTCACTGTTTCCTTTACCGATACCTTTCAAAACAAGTCGCTACAATGCATATGCAACAGTTGAAAATGATCGAAGATCCAAACATTGGTGTACTGCTTTATACATTTAATACATTTTTGGTTTTCATATCTTCCTAATTGAAGCTCGTGGATTAAAACTTTACATTTCGGACCAACCCCCTCTTTACAAGTCAGTTGCATTAAAACTCCTTGCCATCACATATGAGAGGCTTGTACACATTTTAAAATATACATATGTTTTCTACTAAGTAAATTAAAATTAAGAACGGTAATTAACATACTTAAGAAGAAGGCACATCCTAAAATTCCCAAACAAAGCTCTTCCCAGAATACATTGAGTGAAAATAATTTGTAGGAACTACTAAAAAGTTAAGTCCATGTAATTATTGTCTGTAATTTCCACGTGAGGAAAGAACCTTTAATGTAAAACTTGTTTCGGTATGTTTGAATAAATTCAAGTTATCGTAAGCAGAAAGTATACGAAACTGATAAGTGGATCGTAAAAACATAGATAACCCTCTTAAATATTTCCACAGAAGTTTCAAGTGCTGTTAGACATCTTCAAACAAATCTTTTGTTTTCTCTCGTTCCTGTATTTCATAGGTCTTTTTTTTTTTTTTTATTTTAGATATAATTTCTTTACATGTATACTTCCTGTCACTAACTTTTCAATAAATAAATGAAAATGTATTTCGAATTACAACGTACTATTGATAAAAGAATTCAATCAATAAAATTACAATATATTCCCTTAACATTCTATTTTTATCTCTATCATTATATACTTATCGTCTTATATGTACTTACCATACGCAACATGACGGGTGCGACATGTGGAGCAGGACCTTTCCGGAGCTTTAAAACCATACCCGTTATTTTGTAGGGTTCTTGTTGCTAAGTTTCAAGTTTCTATTTAGTAATTTGCGGACTTATTTGTCATTTTGTTGCTTTCGTTTTCCCCCATGTCGTTGTCAGTTTGTTTCACTTAAGGATGTTCGCTACTCTGTTTCGAAATAACAAGCTTTTTAAAAGACTGTTATAAATTGGTAGTATATAAATAACAGAACTAGAGATGCAGAATAAATTGAAGTGTATGTGTCCTTATTTTCGAGATATAAGCAATTGAAAAATTTGCTAGAAATGATTCTCTTTAGATTTTTTAAACATTAAACACTGGCACCTTTTATCCTTCAAAAACTACGAAAAAATCACAGGGATTTTACAGGATTTTCAAAAATGGCCTTTTAAACTATATGTAAAAAATTATGAAGAGAAAAGTAAGGGTTAGCGAGCAAAATGATTTTTGGCACTACATGGATAAAACTAGTGAATTCCGAATATCTGACAAGAGGAGGGAACATCATTAACAGCTAAGAATGTCCCCTTGGTATCTTTTGAATCTTTCTTTTCCAGAGACCTCCTACCTATGATTCCCTTCCCAACATGCAGTATCTAGAGATGTTCCTAAATGAGGTTCTTCGTCTGTATGCAGCTGTACCAAGGTAAATTTATACCACAAATGTGTTTTTTAAAAGAAAAAGATCCAACCGGTTAATTTGCCGCATTTAAGACGGCATTCTTGTTTCAATTTATTAAGGTATGATTTTTCAAAACCTGATATTTGTTTAATGACAACCTTTTAATTTGTATTGGTTAATCATATAACTAATTTCAATACAAAACTTAAGTAAAAAGAAAAAACAAATAACAAAAAAAAAAATAATGAGGCTCTATTTTATTGCTTTTGATCGCCGAATACGTGAAAATCCGGTGCATCAATGCAAAAATGAAATGGACAAAAAGTATAAGGTTGTATTAGTCAATACACCGTTCTTTAATTGAAAGTTTGTCAAAAGAATGAAACTCATACGAAGGTGTGTATGGGGTTTACAGAATAAGGAATAATAGGCATACACTACAGACAAATTAGCAAAAATATAAAGAACAGAGAATATAGTGAGGTGCTAAAATATAAAGAAAAGACTGAGAATAATAGGTTACATTTATAAAGAATAGAGATAAATGGATTAAAAAAAATTATAAATATAGAATTGGAGGACCACATCCAGACCCGCTCATATGATATTAAGCAAAATGCTAGTTAAGCAAGTATCTATACACATTTGCCTGAAATATGCATATATAGCTGGAAAAGGTCCAGGCAAGTGTCATTTAATGTATTGGTTTGTCCAATTGCTTTACTTATGTCAAAAGAGGTCATCTAAAATGAAACGAACACGATTTCTGTGTTTATTCGTTACACATTTATATACCGACATTGTTCCATATTTGCTAGGCTGACTACAAAGTATGGGAAAAACGAAGTTTTTAGTCAATCAGTGAGTCAGGTGTCAAACCTTTCTCAATTTAAGTGCGGTCAGTGGTCTGCTTCACTGTGATATATAAATGCAACATATATTTATTAATCAGTATATTTTATTTTACACAGGATTAACAGACGCGCCAAAAATGATATCACAGTCAATGGTATGTTTATACCAAAGGACACCGATGTAACAATACCAATATCTGCACTGCACAGGAATCCCAAATACTGGCCTGAACCAGAAAAATTTGATCCAGAAAGGTAACATGCTTAATACAACAATCTACAAATTCCAAAATCTCTTACAATTTTACACACTTACAGACAGACACAAAAACCTACATGAAACAATATTAAAAGTCTCATGAACTCCATATAAAAATAAACCCAAGTCAATTGACATATTAAGCGTACTTCGGTTGCTATGCAATTTCATACTCATTTAACATGCAATCTTCAATTAAAGACAGTAGTAAGCTTCGTGTAATAAAAAGGTTTAACGATCAGTAATAACCAACTCGCAATTGAGGCAAATTAGAAAATCCTTCAACAGTATCAGTGTTGAACAAATCAAGTCTCGATATCACGTTAAATACACTATGTCATAATTGTTGCACTTAATAACAATAGTGTGATTTCATTCAATATTTAAGATTCATGTTTAAAGAGGATAATCAGAAAACTGTAAAAGCGTCAATTTTCGCGTTCATCTGTTTTTGTGATTGTTGAATATTGTACAGCAATGCGAGATAAGTTATTGCAATTCCATACAAACCATGTTGTCAATTTCTATGATGCGAATTTGTTTTCGCAAAAATTGAAACATTGCAAACATTTCTAAATTTACAGTGTCGAAATCAAGAAGTCGGAACACGACGTGGAGAATTTAAAAGCAATTACATACATTGTAGTAGAAGAAACTAGCAGTAATGTGTCCCAGCTGGGTGCAAAGTAAAACCATCTACAAATCCGATAATAAAACTATAGTTTAACTACATCAAAAGAAAATAAAAATAGTTTCTGTAACTCATTGCGAAATTATGATTCTCTTTCAGTCACATATGAAAATCGTGGATAGATTACATTTTAACTTGCAGGGAATCTAAATCACATTACACTTTTTTTTTTATTTTTACAACAGTTGTTCTATTTCAATAAACATGTAAAATGACTTTGAAACTCTGGATGATCTAGTCTTCTTTAATTAGAAACTCATCCTTAACTATTTAAGGAATTTGAATTCAAACTTTTTCTAATTCCAAAAGATAAAACTTGCCTATTGGTTTACTTTTTTGTGGTTTAATCTGTGCTTTTCGAAAGCAAGAATTGATTTTGTTGTTCTGGTCGCCTGTGAGATTCAATGAATACAGGGGGAAACTGCAAAATATGTTAACACTGTTCCCAATAAACATATAATAGATTAATAATTATAACTAGTTGAAGTTTTAATATTGATATGTACAATTAGTATATACTACTGATAGGATAGCCCCAAGGGTGAATGTGGAATAGAAATATGGTCACTTTTGTCCTCTACCGACCGGCAGTCTGTGCGGGGTGTATAAGTACGCAGCCACGTGTGGTCAGAATAGGAACGTTAAATCAGATGCCTCGTGTAGGGAGAGTGTCACTCTCTCTGCATGTAAGAACCCTTGCAACAACTCTTTTATTCTGATACACCTGTCGTTTGATATTTATCTCGTTTCTAGATATATGCATTCATATTTGCTTAGGTTTACAGATGAGAATAAGGCTACAAGACCTATGTACAGTTTCCTTCCTTTTGGCCTTGGGCCACGTGTTTGCATTGGTATGAGACTTGCTTTGATTGAAACCAAGTATGCTCTCATTTCAACGGTGCAGAATTTTAAGTTTGTAGTCTGTTCCAAAACAGAGGTAGGTGGAAACATTAGTATAAAAAATGAGGAGATGTGGTATGAAAACTAATGAGACAACTATTTTTTTAAGTTCAAAGGAAGTGGATGTAAGCAATTATAGGTAACCGTACGGCCTTCAACAATGAGAAAAACCCATACCGTGTAGTCGGCTATAAATGTTCTGACATGAAAAATGTTATACAATTCAATTGAGAAAGCTAACGGCCTTATTTATAACAAAACAATTTAAGAAAAACAAATATGACAGACATGAACCAACGGCAACTGTTGCATTTCAGGCTCTTAAAGAATGTTGCGGGATTTAACAAGTTTGTGAATCCTAACTTGGGATAGTGGTGTTACAGCACAAACTGTAAAAACCAGTTGCAATTGGCTTAACTCAAAAGATCAATCCGTTGCTAATACACATTAATCAAAGTCCATTTCAAATAGATATGGAATTAAAAGTTAAAAAAAAAAAATCTCCTTATTGTACATTTTTTTATTTTGTTCAAGTGCTATCTATGAAAGGGTTGATGATGTTCACCTATATATTTAAGAGACGACCATTTGATATCTTGAGAAGGGCAGAAGGATACTTCCGGATTTTCATTTATTTTTATCTATTGCTACTCATACTTATTTTTTTATTTTCACTATTGTATACATTTGTTTCCTGCATTTTGTGTAGCAGAATATTCATTTTTATCCTGTCTTGTGCAAAGTTCTTACAAGGCTATTTTATTCTTTTTAAAATCCACCTGCCTACCCCGAGAAAATCAAGTGGTCAACTCGTCCAATTATTATGATTTGCATTCAACAACCACGGCATTGTACATATGTCACATCTGGTAATGAGTTAAAATGTTAAATGTTAAGGTCGGTAAACGATATAAGGTTTATAAAAGTGGTACACCAGACGAGCTTTGCGTCTAAACAAGAATCATCAGGGGCGTTCGAATCAAAACAGTTTGAATGCCAAATCAAAACGTCAGTTAAAGTGAGATGAAGACTTTGTCTGTGATTTTGCACACTTACATGTAGTTATCGTTGTCATTCCTTCCCTGCTTTAAAATCGTTTTTGTATCATTTTAGCTCATCTGGCCGAAAGGGCGAAGTGAGTTTTTCTCATAACTTGACGTCCGGCGTCCGTCTTCGTTGTCAATCGGTGTCCGTTAACATTTGCAAAATTTGCTACTTTGAAACTACTGAGCTAATTGACACCAAACGTGGCCCAATCATCATTGGGGTATATAGTTTAAAATGTGTCAGATGACTCCGACTGCCGACCAACATGTCCGATATGACTAAAGATAGAACATATGGGATAAAATGCAATGTTTGGCTATTATCTTGAAAATCGTTAGGAGAAAGAGAAAATCTAAAGGGACAAAAACGTTCAGCATGTTGAGATCTACCTAATGTTTATTTACATCAAAACTGTCAGACGACTTCTTATTTGAGTTATTGCCCTTAAAAGACGAATTTTACATTTTTTTTTTTTCATTTTTTCCAATTATCTCGAAGATAATAATAGATAGAAAGAAACTTTTAATAACAAAAATTATCAACAGGACAATATCTACAAATAAGTCAAATAATTGTAACTGTTAGTCGACACCTTATTGAAGTTATTGCCCTTTAAATAACGATTTTCCCATTTTTTGCGTGTTTGCTTATTGTCTTGGAAAATTTAAAAGATAGATAGAAATTTTAAATAGCAAAATAGATCAGCAGGATAAGATCTACAAATAAGTCAGTACGATTGAAGTACAGTAGTTGGTCGACTCCTTATTTAAGTTATTGCCCTTTAGTGAAGATTTTCCCCATTTTTTGTCTATTATCTTGAAAACTATAATAGATGGATAGAAACTTCAAATAGCAAAAATGATCAACAAGATGAGATCTACAAATACGCTATCATGGTTGAAATCTTCATTTGACTCTTTATTAGAGTAGTTGCCCTTTAATGATAATTTTTATTATTTATTGTTTTTTGGTGTTTTTTGTCTATTATCTTGAAAACTATAATAGATAAAAAGATAAATTTGATCAGCAGGCTGAAATTGTCAGTTAACTCTTAATTCTGTTATTCCCCTTTAATGATGATTTTTACTAAAACATGGCATCTGTTGAAGATACAGGTGAGCGACACAGGCTCTTTAGAGCCTCTAATTTACGTGTTGCATTGCATATATGTTATGCTATCTTTATTTTACAGGCACTTGTCTTTTTGAAAATAATCTATATACCGTAACAAGTTAATTAACGGTATACAAGTATATTTGTTAGAGACAAGTGCGTGTGCTCCATTTTCAGAATTGTCAGACTTTTGACGTCAAATTTAGGCCATTTAAATATGATAAAACAGACATAAAAAATATTTGCTCCAATCTTAAAGTGTCTAATATCTGTTTTAAAAATAGAATTTGTTCTATTTTCTTTCACCTTTATATTTTCATTCTTTTATTCATTTCTAACGGTTAACCTGACGATAAGCCTCAGGTTAATTGAATTTAAAAATGAATTTTCCTTCTGTTAGATTCAGTGATAGCTTAACCTACGATAAACGAAAAAAAAAATGCAACATGTTTAATTCAACATTATCATAGATTACAGATTGGACATTGATTATGAATTTAAATTTGAACAATGTAAAACAATTTCGCAACAATTCATATTTTCTCTATTTAATTTTAATCTTAAAACTTACATTATTATATACAACCACGAGGTTTTTTCCGGTAAATATTATAGAAGAACATTTAGATAACTAAGTAAGAAAAATATACAACGACATGTGATTGATATTCAAATTTGACAGTCACATGGACAATAAAATTAACATTTGACCAAATTGATATTTTAGGGGAAAAAACGCTTTTGAGTCATCTTATGACCTAAAATAAAAATAAAAGATATTAAAGGGCTATTCCAATTCCTTAGTCGAAAAAGAACTGACAATTCAATGGAAAATCGTTTAAAAGACAAACAACAGTATACCATACAAAACATAGAAAAATTAAACAATGAGCAACACGAACCCAACCAAAAACCGGGGGTGATCAAAAGCTGTTTTGTACTTTATATTGTTGCAAAAGATTTAGATATCTCCTTTCACACACTCATTATTTTGATTGTATTCTCATTCTTTCATCATTTCTTATTTATAAAGAAAACGATGAAAGTAAATATATGTTTTTAATTGTTTACCAGTTATGATATTTTAGTATTTAAAATTTTAATTTTGTAAATTTTCGAAAAAGTACAAATGTTTTATAAATAATCGTAGTATCCCGAGATGGAAGAATCGTGAAACTTGACACAACCATAAGTTTAAGAATACTTATATTTTACCTATGGGCAATAACGAATTTTTGAATAACCAGTCAATCAATAAAAACTGATAAATAAAGGAAAACAATTGCAGTGCTCTCTTTATTTTTATTTTTATTTACAGATACCAATGCCTCTTCAAAAAGGTTTCATTACCAGACCACTAAATGGAGTCCATCTGAAAATTGAAAAGAGATGATTCAATGTTTTCATTGGAGCTTGACACACATTGTTTAAATATTTTTACATTTCAAAATGTGTTACTTTATTTTTTCTTAGCATAGCCAATTTATTAAACATTAGTGACAATTGAAAAATATACGGTCCATTTTCTTGATAAAAACATAGAATGTTGGTGTATATATGTGACACATGTTATGTAGTTTTCTCGTGTCAGTTTACTTTTGACTTTTTTAATGAAATGGAAATATAACTTATACACTTTTAGACTTGTGTTATAAGGGAAAGAGACTGAAACCTAGTATAAATAAATTTTGATTATTGACAAACAAGGGACATTTCTTATATGGGACATACGGGAATTTGCCTGTTATTTTGGTTTCATTCCTTGACAATATGTTCCGTGTTTGTGAGGACAATATTTATTTGGATTATGTTATGGACAGTTGTTATTACCTTTGGTTTGATTTTTTTTTATTTTTGGTGTTTTAACGCCACTTTTAAGCACCGCTATTTCGTGGTTGCCAGTTTTTATTGGTGGAAGAAGCCGGGGAAGCAGGGGAAGCCGGGGAAAACCACCGACCTTCGATAGGAAAACTGACAATCCTTGTCATCTGTAATATTATTTGTCTGTTTGTCTTTTTATTTTTGGCCATGGCGTTGTCAGTTTGTTTTCGATCTATGAGTTTGACTGTCCCTCTGGTATCTTTCGTCCCTCTCTTAAGATTGGAGTCGAGTGCACCCGCACGAGCGGGGTTCGAACTCACAACCTCAGTGTTGACTGGCTAGTGATTGCAGTAGTAATTACTTAGACCACTCGGCCACCGAGGCCCCCATTGTTACATTTGGTTAAATTAATCAAATTTTCCCTAACTGATTGATATATATTAAAATACCATTTGATTCATTCCTTTAAATTCTGCATTATTTTAAGGTAAAAATAAGGAGATATGGAATGGTTGAAAATGAGACAACTATATTTACCGAAGAAAAAGGGTGTAAATAAATACAGACCTTCATGCGGCTTTCCACAATGTGCAAATCCCATACCATATAGTAAGATATAAAGCACCCAAGATTATAGGGAGTGACATTATCCAAATTATGAGCACTAATTGCCTAGTTTAATCTTAAAATGACTACAAAAACAATAATTGGTGTACAAACCTTTGGTATGGGGCAGGAATATAAAGCATGTGATGTAACAAAATATGTTTTTGAAGGCGCAACTCTCACCTCAATGCTTATACGGCAAAACAAAAGAACAAACTGTAAAAATATGCCGAAAATAGTTTGACTCATCAGATTGTAACTACGCTCAAAAACAGAAATTCTTGCGATGTTTTTATTATCGCGAAAAATGCGACAGGGTTATAATCGCAATAATTTAAACTCGCATTTTGAAATTCTTTATATGAATTAAACAGGATTTTTCTCAATATCGCCAAAATTAAAATCGCATTTTAGTCTAAAATGGCAAAATCGCAATAATAAATGCACGCAATAATTTCTGAATTTACAGTAAATAAAGTCTCAGACACAACTTCACTGGACAACCCCTGTTTAACACATGTCAAGGTATTGAAAATAAAAATATGATTTTTTTTTGTATAAAACCATTACACACCATACAAAAGTACGATATTAAGGCTCAACTATGGCATGGTATTGGTTGCAAAAATTTGATATTTTTCATTTAAATGCAATATTTCTTATTTAATTGGTATATTTCTTCATTTAAATGCAATATATTTTTATTTGAATGGTATATTTTTTCATTTAAATGCAATATTTTTTATTCAAATGGTATAATTTTTTCATTCAAATGGTATAATTTTTCATTCAAATGGCATAATTTTTATTCAAATGCAATAGTTTTTATTCAATTGGTATAAAATGTCATTTGAATGCAATATTTTTTATTCAATTGGTATAGTAGTTTTTTTATTTATATGCAATAATTGCATTATGGGAAATTCTTTGACGTCATAAGGTCAAATTTGCAACAACGTTTGTGATTGGTCGGAAATTGTTTGGATTTCTCCCCTTTCTCTCTAAACATGGATGACAAAGAATTAAAAAACGCCTCAGAATATCGCCCCTCTTACTAAATCTAACGTTCGTGCGAGTCCTGCACTGGGTGTTAAAATCTTGTGGTCATAACTAGTATTTCTATTGCAAAATTTCGATGGTCAAAACGTTCGGTCCACTTTTCAAAAACCGTTTCATTGTATATGGATTTATATGCAAGTATATCGTTTTTTTTTAAATAGATTAGATACCGTTGGTTTTCCCGTTTGAATGGTTTTACACTACAAATTTTTTGGGGCCATTTATAGCTTGCTGTTCGGTTTGAGCCAAGGCTCCGTGTTGAAGACCGTACGTTGACCTTTAATGGTTTACATTTACAAATTATGACTTGGATGGAGAGTTGTCTCATCGGCACTCATACCACGTCTTCTTATATCTATATACAACGTAAACCAGACGTTTCTCAGACTGTTTTCTTTTTTTAATAAATCCTTTGCCGCGCGTTGTGTACTGATTGATAACTCAGTCTGGGAGAACAAGATTTATTTCAGTACCAGTTGTAATTAGGTTTGATTGAGCAAACTTCCAGTAATTGCAAATACTCTTATGTCGGTGCTTTGTGTCTATTGTCAGTGAAAAAAACTATATGAATTAAGTTTTTTTCATCCTACATTGAACTTTTGACGTCGTCCCTAATGTGCAAACAAATAGATAGGGGCGGGACCAAACCTATAGATAACATAATAAAGAAATGATGAAATATACAGAATACGTTGATTGACTTTTGGTTGCCTTATGTCCAGTGGCAAATATGTCACGCATGTTTAGGACAAATATAATAGAGATCAAAGGATAAAGAATAGGGTGAAATGGTAAAAACTAAGAGATATAGAATTATAGAAACGTTCTTTGATCTGAAACCCCTACCCTCACACACACACCATAACCATTACTGCCAATACTCGCATATATACATCTCTATACAAATATCTAAATTTGAACCTATCCCCCCCCCCCTCTTCCCTCTAGACACCGAGGTTTTGGATCCGCCCCGGTTAAATGTGTCTAATTATATACATTTTGTACGGGTCTAGATAATAGCTAAACGTACAATCATATAATTTGTTGGATACCTAATTATATTATATAATGTGTCACAAAATAAACTTGTATACCCCCCTTCCCAATGAAGTATTGAAAAGTAAATCATTTAAAAGTCCTGAAGATAAAATATGTTTTGAAATATGCCCTGCATACTTATTTATGCAAAGACATATAGTAATTATTGAACTACTGTGGGGCTTGAAAAAAAATCTATTTAAGGGATTCGGAGACGAGAACAGTAAAAAAAAAAGCTCAGCAACGAATCCTAAATGTAAAATGATTTGCAGCATAAGACATGAGAGCACATATTATAGATAGTATTAAATATGAAGTTCACGCCTCATATAGTGAAGTCCTATGTCATAGGACTATTGTTGTAACATGGGTTAGTAACTGGTTCCAATTTATCCTGAATTGTCTTTATTAAAGAATTAGTTCCGAAGTATAACAGCTTATGTCTCTACTTGTGGGTTTCTGGTTCTGCTGTCGTAATTAAGTGATTTTTTTTCTACATGTAGCAAAAAAGACGGGGCTTAGTCCAAATAATTGTAACGTCCTGGATGCTTTTTATTCTTTTTTCATGTGTGCCTTCCTGCAACGTCTCTGAGGATCAAGAAAAATAAAAAATGATATAGCACTAAAGAACTTTATGATTACATGTATCTGGACTTAGAAGGGGAGGGGGGCTAGCTATGTATTTTTTTTTATTTCAATGTGTAGACTGTATGAGAGTTTCTTCAGAAAAGGTTTTCATTGGAGGTGTTTTTGCCATGCACGCAGGCATCTGTTTCTATCCATGAACAAGTTGTGTGTCAAATTAATTATTATTACTTGTCACTCGCATTTTTTGCTCGTCCTGGCCATTATTGGTATTAACAGCCAGTGCACGAACTCGCACGAACGCCAAATTTAGTTAGAGGGGCGATATTCTGACGCGTTTTTTAATTCTTGGTCACTCAAGTTTAGAAAGAAAGGGGAGAAATTCAAACAATTACCGACCAATCACAAACGTTGTTGCAAATTTGACATTAAGACGTCAATGAATTTCCCATAATGCAATTATTGCATATAAATAAAAAAAAAAATACTATACCAATTGAATAAAAAATATTGCATTCAAATGACATTTTATACCAATTGAATAAAAAATATTGCATTTGAACGAAAATTATACCATTTGAATGAAAAATTATACCATTTGAATGAAAAATTATACCATTTGAATGAAAAATCATACTATCTGAATGAAAAATTATACCATTTGAATGAAAAATTATACCATCTGAATAAAAAATATTGCATTTGAACGAAAATTATATCATTTGAATGAAAAATTATACCATTTGAATGAAAAATTATACCATCTGAATAAAAAATATTGCATTTGAACGAAAGTTACCATTTGAATGAAAAATTATACCATTTGAATGAAAAATTATACCATCTGAATAAAAAATATTGCATTTAAATGAAAAAATATACCATTCAAATAAAAAAATATTGCATTTAAATAAAGATATATACCAATAAAAATAAGAAATATTGCATTTAAATGAAAAATATCAAATTTTTGCAACCAATACCATGCCATACTCAACAAGACCGAATTGTTTTTTGTTGAAAATTAGTGGCAACTGAAAAATGTGTATGTAAACTCATCATAGATACAAGGATTTTTGTACACCAGACGCACGTTTCGATTATGATCTGGACTGTTGTGATAAATTGAGTTTAACATGGCCCATGGTATTCAAGCATTCCCAATGTGGTTGAAACACATTAAAGTCATTTTATTCATTCTTTAAATGTGCATTTTTGCACATTTTGTTTAGATTTTTAGATTCATGAACATCAAAGATTAGGAAATGTGGTATGAATTAAAATGAGACATTATATCCACCAAAAACAATAATAGCTCACCACACGGCTTTCAACAATAAGCAAAATTTACGCCAAAGGTAAATAAACGATCTAAAATACTAACACTAACGGCCAGATGTTAGAATATAACATTTAAAGGAAAACAATCATGAGAGAGACCACCACGCTGGCATCGTAATTGCTAAGATTTCAAATCCTGTGATCCTGAAAACGATCACATTGACTTCAAATCATGTTAGGAAAGCACTGTG